CTCCTGACCTCAGATAACAACAACAACAACAACAACAACAACAACAACAACAAAAAGACAAGTGGCATCATTTCCCTAAACAGTTACCAGTTGCATTTCATGATGTCATCAGTAAGCAGTTCAATTCCATTCATCCCTCCTTATTCCAAATCCTCCATCTACAAAAGGCAAATGATAACAGTATCTTCCACATAATATATTTGAGGCTGAAAATGCTTAAAGTGTTATCTGCCTATTTGCAATGATAAAATTTACCCGGGGCAACTTGGAAGATAAGCTTCTGAATATCAAGAAAGAAAGAAAGAAAGTGGATGTCTTGAGTAGTTTGCAGGGTAGAAAACAAGATAAGGAATGAAATAAATGAAGCTCCTTTTCCACTTATTATTTATAATCCTCCCAAGGACATTTTGAGTAGTAGAGATTCAGGATCCCAAAATGTATTCATGCCATGAATAATTAAAAGGACCTTTAATGCCAAAACAATGCAATTACAATCATGTATATTCAGTGGCATACAATTATAATTCACCCATTAGAGCTCTTTGGTACCCTCTAGACACTGCATTGTGACTTCCACTCCCAGGACATGAAGAAATGAATTACAATGGCTTGTCTCAAAACAGTATAGCTGAAGTAGAATTCATTGTAAAAGTTTAAATAATTTTACATTGAATTAAACTAATCTAATTATTTATCCTATTAAAGTGCTCATACAATATCCAATAACTGGATTGTGAATGGTCACTATCTAAAGGTAATTTTTACACATTTCATTTTCCTTTGACCTTTTGTTTTATTATTCCTTCATTTTTTCCAACAATAAATGTATATATGGAATACTCTTCCTTCAAGATATTTCATGTATTTGATAAACTGGACAATGTGGCAGAAAAATTAATAAGATTATAAATGTGTTAAGATGTTATGATGGAATTTATTATTGTAAATATAATCCTATGAGGAATGCAAGGAGCCACAGTTCAAAACATTTAGAAAGCACAACGTTCTCTACTGTTATAGAATATAAAACTTCCTTGTTTAAAAGCGTACCTCTGCTATCATACAATACCTCTAAATTTGATATTTCAAATAAACATATAGTTTGTTTTAAAACTTATATTATGGTTTAATTTTTTTCCAAATCTCAGGTTTTCCACTGCAATTATAAAGCTTACTTAAATGAATAATAAGCTGATTTTTAGCTAAATATATTTTCAAAAAGAGGGTTTGATGTAGTGGAAATGGAAAAAAAAAGACAATAGATCTGTGCCTATCAACCAGCTGTGAAAATTCTTATTGAGCTGGGTTGGAAATGTGACAAAGGAGCGTTAGAACAAGAACCAGAAACTTTAGAGCAATAGAGGATACAGATAGCTGCTTTGTCCTACACAAACAAATGACAACCTGGAATTCAGAATACAAGAAAATGTTTATTATTCACTGGCATTTTTTTATTAAATGCAGATCTGATTAGTAACTGTTCTTGCAAACTCTTACAAATCTCCCAAAGATGAAAACATACAATCAGTAATCTCTTGCAGTATTCCACTTCATCTCAATAAGGCCCTTAAGGGATAACTTTTAAAAAAGCCTCCCTACTACATAAATCCTATGCTGGGGGGGGACGGGACACAATCAAGTGTGCATATAACTTGTTTCTTTTGGTCAGCTTTCATACCACCTGATGGCCAAAATAGAATGTTTGGGTGTGTGTGTGAAATCAGGGAATTTGAAATAAGAGCCAATATCATTTAACCTGGAGAGAGGAGGATTCACTGAAGGAAAGATTTGATATGTGTTGCATAGGTATCTAGAAAATTACAAGGCCTGCTCTTGAACTGTTCACCTTAATTACTCAAACTGATTTCCTATATCCAGATCTATATTATAATGTTCTTAAGAACTACTAACAGTCTTTCTTTACAAATCAGAAATTATAGACCGCTATGACCAAGAAAACGAAAGCCAATTTGGTGTAGTGGTTAAAACACCAGCAAATTCCAGTCTTGCCTTAAGCAAAAAGCCAGCTGTGTGATTTCCTATTTTTTCTTAACTCAAGGACAGACATATCCAACCTGCTGCTCATTGGCCAAATATGGCCCTGGACAGCTAGTAACGTGGTCCCATAAGATAATTTAAAAAATGCTTAAAATAAAGGAAGTTTGTTATTTATATAATTAACTATATCATATATTTTATTTGTGGCTCAAGACAATTCCTCTTCACTCAGTGCAGCCCATGCCAGCCAAAAGGTTGGACAGACAACCATGCTAGTCTAGGATGTAGGCAATGACAAACCATTTCAGAAATCTGGCCAAGAAAAGTGTAGGACTTGTCCAGAGAGAGACCAAGAAGAGATTGTCAGCATCACATTTAAAGTACGTACACCCCAAAGGTCAATAGCAGCACACAAAAAATAAATAATGCATATCTAAGTTAAATTGCTACAGGTAGTCCTTGACTTACAACAGTTTGTTTATAGTCACTGAAGTTACAATGGAACTGAAAATAGTGTCAATTTTTCACTTACAACCGTTGCAGCATCTCCATGGCCACATGATCAAAATGCAGGTGCTTGGTTCCTATTTATGATGGTTGCAGTGCAGTGGTGGGATTCAATTTTTTTACTACTGGTTCTGTGGGTGTGGCTTGGTGGGCATGGCATGGCTTGGTGGGCATGGCAGGGGAAGGATACTGTAAAATCTCCATTCCCACCCCACTCCAGGGGAAGGTTACTGGAAAATCCCTATTTCCTCCCGATCAACTGAGACTTGGGAGGCAGAGAATAGATGGGGGCGGAGCCAGTCAGATATTTATTGGTTCTCCAAACTACTCAAAATTTCCACTCATGTGGATCATGTGACCACCTTTTGCGACCTTCTGACAAGCAAACTCAGTGGGGAAACCAGGTTCACTTAACAACTGCAGGGATTCACTTAGCATCTGTGGCAAGAAAGATCATAAAGTGGGGCAAAACTCACTTAACAAATGTATCAGTTTACAACAGAAATTGTGGGCTCAATTGTGGTCATAAATCAAGGACTACCTGTAGTTTAAAATGACCAATGATAGGAGGTATTGTAAATAAGTGCCGTAAAATGTGTTTTCAATGCCTGAAAAAAGTTAAGGCAGTTGGGTTGAAGACTCCTTGATAGCATTGAGGATTCTAACTTTGTATAGAAGGCAAACTCTCCCATATAAAATGCACCCACATTTCATACCATAATTTCCACTAACTTCTTATTCTAAGAATACACTGATTGTTTCCTGATTGCTTATTTGTACCCTATGACTATCATTAAGTGCTGTACCTTATGATTCGTGACGAATCACACTTGGCCAATAAAGAATTCTATTCTATTCTATTCTATTCTAGGGGGTGGGGAAGAAACAAGAATTGACCCCTCCCTTTGGTTTCTGCATTAATTTTATTTTACAGTGTAAAAGGAACAACAACAGTGAAGATTGCTTCTTAAGTTCTTATTATATAAAGCCCTACTTGACTCACAGGATGTGGAAACACTGTACTAAGAACATAAACATAACTAGACTGTCAATAAAGCAGGAAAGGCCACGCCTACCGTCTTGGACCCAATAAAGTTTTCCACCAGAAGGGGAGCATAGTCTCTCTTCAGCGTACGTTTCTTCCTGAAAACCTACCCCGCTTCTCCCCCCCACCCCCTGGGGACCCCCAGTTTGGCTTCTTCCAAGCCGGGCCTATTTCCCAGCTGTGCTCTCCAAAGCCTATCGACGAAACGCAGGGACCTTCCCCGAATCCCATTGGCAGGCATTACATCACCAGCAGGGCACGACATCTCGTCGTCGGCTGCCAATTACCTCCGCCGCCTTCTTTCCTGCTTCCTTTGGCTGCCCAGTAGGAAACTTGGGAGCTGAGCTAAACAAAGACTCAACGGGTTGCTTGGCCGCTTGTGAGTCTCCCGAGTTAATCGATCTTCGGGATTTGGGCAACTAGCGACTAAAGCAGTGTTTTGGGTACCCTCCCCTCGCCCTCTCCAAGGGCCTGAACCTGCAGCCAGTGTCGGTTTGCACGACCCAGCCCGGAGTAGCAGCCCTGGCGCGTTTTAGTCTGCTGTTCCAGAGACTTGAATCGAGGAAATCGGGGTTAGATTAACCGTGAATAAGCCATGAAAACGCAAGAGAAGTTTCAAGATGCTGCCGTATTGTGCCCCGCACAATGCTAGGCAGGCCTCCGAGGGGGCTCAGTTTCCCATCCCCGGTGGAGCAAGTGCCTTTCTTGGGTGCGCCCAAGAGCGTAAGCGGCATTGTGCGTTCTTGTCGCCAAGACAAAGCGCCGAAGCGAGGAGATAATTATTACCAAAAAACAAACAACCCAGGCCCGAATCTTGTTTCGATCTGCCAGAACAAGAGAGCGTTTCTTGGCTGGCAGCTAAATCTGAAGATAGAAGCCAATGGCGGCAGATTCTTTCTTTTCCACTCCCCCAGTCGTCTTCTCCAAGGAGGGGTCCTCGGATTGTGTCGAACCACAAGGCCCCTCATCATCCCCACCGGACCCGTCCCGCTGGTCGAAGGTTTCCCATCGAGGTGATGGGCCGAATGTCCTTTTTTGGGAGGGCACCTTGTAGGCGAACGCACACGGATTCCCCTCGTTTCAAACCCCGCAGCGACCCTCTCCAATCCGGCTCGCCAAACCCTCCAGGGTGGGAGTGTGGGAATTGGGGAGGGGGTGGAGCATCTCCGGGGAAAATAGAGAAGCAAACAAGAATCCTCTGTGCCCCAATTTTGAGGCGGCGAAGGCGACACCGCTGGGCACCTGCCCCCAAACTATCTTCACACACACACCCCTCCAGGACTCGGTCCTCCGGTGCTCGTTCCAGGGGGTGGTGGCTGGGATGAGGTGAGGGGAGATGATCCTGGACGCCAGCCAGTCCCCCAATTTGGCTTCTTTCCCAGCCGCCGTTCTTTCTCCAGGGCGTTCGGACTCTTCCCCCCCCCAAAAAAAAAATCGAGTCAGGACTTACAAAAGCTCCGCCGCTGCTTGAAAGGCCGGTCCGAAGGCATCGCGGCCGGGAACCGGACAATACCGAGACCACCGCGCCTCGGCACGGGCGAGAAGGTCGTCGATAAGACTCAGAAAACGCTGTCGCCGCCTTGGGGAAGGCAGGGGAGATCTCCGGAGCCCCCGAAAACAAGTGCCGCGGCGCGCGCCTCCTCTTCCTCGGTCGGCTGACGCCGTCTGCTCCCGATCGGATAACTGAGCCACACCGATCCCCGAAGGTGGCAGCGCAGCGGTGACTTCATCCCACAACCTCCTTAAAGGGGAGGCGCGCGATCCCGCCCCTTCTGCAGTGCGGCCTCGTTGCCAGGGGCGCACCGGCCTCAACCCCGGGCTGCCCTCGGCGATCTTGCTGGCACTCTCGGCCAGCAGACTCGCTCCCCCACCCCCCGGAGAAAGAATTAAGCCGCGTCCAGGAAAATGTTATAAAATATGCATGAAGAGCAGATGTCCTCAGATAATAAGTAAAACACACGCGCACGCACACACTATTAAAAAGCATTGCCAGGTGTTCATCTAGAAATAATCCCACAAAGGACATTTGTTTATTCGTTTATTTAATAGCAATTTATTATAATTAATACTTCTCTTTTAGCCGGTCCTGAACAGCTTTCAGTTGGCTGTTACTTGGCTGCAGCACAACTGGAAAAACTGGTCAATGACAGCAGAAGTGTCATCTTAAAAATTAACATATTTGTACTACTGTATACACTTTGGTGGATCACATGTGCTTGATATATAAGGCTGGCTTTGTTATGATTCACTGAAAATGCTGATTTGCTGAATTAAATCTTTTAATTTAAGATGACTTTCCAAGTCAGGAATCCCAAATAATTTCATGTTTTGTTTGTACACTGATAAACACCTTGAGGCTTAGCCATGTTGTTCCCCTGCCCCAGTGCCAGGGAAGTGACACTGAACATGGGGAGAATGTTCTCATCATAAAATGTCTGTGTAGGTTCTCAGTCTGAACCGGAAAAACTTCTTGGGTGAGAATCAAAACATTGTCAAGGAAAAAAACCCACCAAAAGTACAGCTGCCTTTTGGAGAAGCAACTTTAGGGTCTCAACACAGAATGACTTGTATTTGTGGTTAGAAGACAAAGTGAAACTCTGGTTCAGGCTTCTGGATGAGAAGGATTTGAAGAGAAGCGTCTCACATGTACTTGATGTATTTATAGCTTCTAGCTACTGAGAATGCTACTCCCCACTTTATTCTGAGAACAACCTGAGGTAAGTTAGGCTAAGTAACTATGCCAAGAACACTTAATGGCTTAGAAATTAAACATTAATCTTTGCTGAGATCCTATAAACAACATCTACCGCTGCATGAGCTTGGAATGTGTAGTAGGTCTTTCAACTGCCTTAAAAAATTAGTTTTCTGCTCTACTCTTTTCTGCCTTTTTCAGTGGTCAAAACAACAGCTTATTGGTGCTTATTGGTGTTGGTCAGTTTAGTTGAATTTCCAACCCTTTAATAAAACTGCAAGTTGCAATCATGTGATTAGTGACCAACTTACCTATCCCAATTGTGGTCACTAACTAAGGACTATTGTAGTAACTTGAAATGTGACAATTATGACTTTGTCTTATAGATTAGATGGACATTTTACAACGACTCAATCAAACCAGCGCCCTTTACCATTTTGGCTCCAGTTTTTCAACAGCTGAATTACATATTCCAGGAAAAGAATCAGCTTTGCTGAAAAAGACAGTTGTTGACTTAGCAAAGTTTCCAGCTGCAGAAGTTATCAAAGGCTGTTTTTCCTAGGAAGCTTCAGCAGATCAGAAGCTAAGCAAGCTGGAACTGGGGGTGTGTATTTGAATGGGAATTTTCTAGGAAACATTCAGACTGTAGACTACATTGGAAATTTCAAAAAAATATTTTAAATGATGTCAGTGACAAATTGAAGAGCATTTGTCAAGAAAACTATGTCCATGAAGTCACAAGAAGTTAAGTTTGGCTAGAATGAGATTTGGCTTTCCCTATTTCTCCTGTACTGCTAGTAACTGTTGGCAAAATTATAGGATTGGGTTTACTAGAGTAGTTTGTCTGAAATTAGAAAGCTGCAGGCCTCTTTTTTGGGGAGGGAGCCACCTAGTGATTGCACAGCAACATCACTGATTGCAGGATAAATCTGAAAAGCTTTTTAGGGCTAAGAGCCTAAAAAAAAGCCTTTGTAGATTGCCAAGGTTGCACTTTAAATGTAATTTCACTCCATTTCTATTTAGTTCAAATATTATTGATATGGCTGGTCTTGAATTATGGATTTCATAAAACTGCTTTCTGTCACATTAAAAATTCCAACTTTTGGAGAATGTAGGTACCTTTAGAATTTTAGTTTGCATTAAACTATCAGCTCATGGGTTAATCCAATGCAAGAGAAAATGAGACTCTCAAGTCTATTCTTAAACTGCTCTTGAATATTGGTTTGAATGGGATTGTAGTTGTTAGATAGGGTGAACTGAGGAGGCAGACTCAGGCTCAGTAACAACAGCTCTTTATTCAGGGACTGCTATCTACAATCCAGCGAAGGTCCTGTCTGGCAGCAGCCCTTTTATAGGGTTCCAGCAGGGCCTTCAACCAATCAGATTTAAATGAGTTCCCACTGGTAGCAGCGGACCTTGGTGGAAACTACATGCATTCAAGGTACTTAACATATTCAAAGTACTTAATAGTAGCCATAGCATTCATGCCTAATTGAGAGTTATATAAATATAGTTGAAACTATTTTATATTAAAAATGCATCTACTGCACTGGTGGGATTAGATTTTTTTACTACCGGTTCTGTGGGCGTGGCTTGGTGGGCGTAGCATGGCATGGCTTGGTGGGCATGGCAGGGGAAGGATATTGTAAAATCTCTATTCCCTCCCAACTCTAGGGGAAGGTTACTGCAAAATGCCCATTTCCTCCTGATCAGCTGGCACTCGGGAGGCAGAGAATAGATGGGGGATGGAGCCAGTCAGGTGTGGTATTTACCAGTTCTCCAAACTATTCAAAATTTCTGCTACCGGTTCTCCAGAACTGGTCAGAACCTGCTGAATACCACCACTGATCTACTGTGGAAAAAGCTTCCTTTGAACTTTGTATCAATTAGCTCGCTATGATCATGTGCTCAGTCAAAAGATGTGCAAATTTTAGTAGCGGACATATTCCCCTATTATCTTCCTCCGAAGGTCATGCCACATATGTGATCTGGAGCATTCTGGCTGCCCCCTAGCACAGACTGGGAACATAGAAAATAAACCAAGAAGATGACTGTTCAGGTACGTCAAATGTAGCTGATATTTATTTTCAGCTGGTCTATTCATCTTTGGAGGTTTAAAACATCTACTGTGGTAAACCAAATTTCCTAAATATCTAATTTAGAGCAGGGGTGTCAAACTCAAGGCCCATGGGCCAGATCCAGCCTTCGAGGTGCTTAGATCTGGTCCGCTGGCCAGCCCTGAAAACAGCAAACTGGACCATGGTGCCTCTGATGTCCATTGCAACCAAAAATGGAGCTCAGGACCCCATTATCGCTGGTGGAGTGCTCAGGCCGCCACAGGTGCCCCAACACAAGTGATGTCGAGCTGCCCATGCCCCGCGAGGTCAAACACAACCCTGATATGGCCCTCAATGAACTCGAGTTTGACCCCCTTGATTTAGAGGGATTTTGGCCTTCCCCTAATCTAGATACTAACGAATTGGAATTACCTTTCCTACTGGAATACACTATTATAAGTTTCATGGCACTTATATTTGTGTATGTATGTATCTTTACAGAAAGGGTTTACTTCACAATAGGTTGACTAAATGACCAACAAATTGTCTTCCTTATTACTGACACCAGTAATGGAAGGGTTTGATTGAAAGGGTACACCAAGTATTATAAATAAACTGATTTTCAGAGAAATATTTCAATAGCATGAATTTCAAGGAGGAAAATGCTTTGAAAACCATGAGAAAACTTTACTGAAATCAACACACAAAGGTTTGCTTGATCATTTTAATTTGCTTTAAAAGAAACAAGTGCAAAATAAAAGGAAGACAAAAGAGATTTACAGTTATTACAAGTGTTTAGAACAAAGTTATTCAGTTATATATTTGCTAAAGAAACCATCCATCTTTGATCCTCTTTTTGGTTTCATGTTTTGTCTCCTCCAAGGAGTAACCCTTGAGTAATTTGAACAGACTCCTTATATCTTTAGTATACTAAGAAAGGAATCTCAGACATTACCATGGACAATAATTACCAGTGTTAAATAAAAATATACAATTAAGTAAAGGAATGCAGGCCAGTTGGGGAAGCTTTCATTCTGTTGGATTCTGAACGACAATCAGGAAATAGTCCTTATCTGCAAAAATATAAAGGAATTTTGTTTAAAGATTTGATTGTTACTATTAACTCATAACTCTTGTGTCATGTTACACTATCTCAACTGCTTTGTAGAGAGAGATTATGCGCCTTCCTGGCATTATCAGTTACAAAGAAATTTGGTTAGTGGCACATGCTGAAAAGGACTTCTTCATGAGGTTTTGCGAATATAGTACACATAGTCCTTGATTTACAGCTGTAATGGAGCCTGCCTATCATGGTCGTCAGTGGTGACAATTGATTTTATGACCTGTATTGTGGAGGCCATTGAGCAAACATGGCAGTGGTAAAGTGAATGCCATGGTCATTAAGCAAGCAATTGTTCACAATGGGTGCAGATTTGCTAAAAAACGGAAGTGCCCATTTTCAGCCAAACTTTTGTAAAACACAGTCACGTGACTGCAGGATGCTGCTAACAGCCATGAATGCAGCCAGGTTGCCAAATGCCCAAAGGTCAGTCATGGGACCATAAGGGGAGAGGCAACAATTGGAACTTTGAATCCAAAGTAGATCCATCAAAACTTTGCCGGATCTAAGTAACTGGTTGTAAATTGGGGACTACCTGTACTAGTTGGAAAAAAAACAATACTGGACAAAGCAGATTATAAATACATACATGTTCCTCATGCAATTTCCTTTTTGGAAGCGCAGTTATATGAAATACAGAAAGGGAATACGATATAGTAACCCAAAGAAATGAAGGAAAAGGCACAAGAAAAGGCTAAATATAAACATGTAAAATCAATAAACCACATAGAAAATTCATTCAAATATTACAAACATTAGAGTTGTTAAATCAGATCAGGCCAAAAGCTATCTACTGCGACATTGTTTCTTAAAATGAAGCAATAGGCTTGATTGATATCTGGAAATATCATTTAGAACAACAGCCCC